GAGAGAGAGAGAGAGAGAGAGAGAGAGAGAGAGAGAGAGGCAGAGAGAGAGGCAGAGAGAGAGGCAGAGAGAGAGGCAGAGAGAGAGAGAGAGACAGAGAGAGAGACAGAGAGAGTCGACCACCTCCTGCCTCCCTCCTTTCGCTAGAGGTCTTTGAACTCTACTGTAGAAAACATGTCCGCCTTCGGTTAGCGCTACAGTCTAAGACAGAAGCCTTTCACCGATCAGTCGAAAGTGCGGTCATTGCTACAAAAATTCACCACACCTTGGAGAGAGTGTGGGTGGGGGAGGCAACAATGACGTCGAAAAGATAAACAGTGAAGGTTTGAAGCCTGGGTTAACACTGATTCTATCAGGCTAGACTGCACCAGGTGGACTCGAAGAGTGAGCTGGTAAGGGGAATGCATGGCAGCGCAATACCACAACTCACCAGGGATCCAAGTTTGAGTCTTCTCGGCAATCGCCTCGACAATTTCGTCCAGAAACCGAGGGCCGACGTTCTTGTCTTGGAGCCAATACTTAAACCTGTTGCAATGCTCCGCGCAGTCCGGCTTTGAAACAGTAGACGTACGATAGCACCCGAAACACGAGTACATCAAAACGTAGAAAGAGAAACGGGATGATGAGCTCGTTGTGAATCTCTTGCAGCGTACGTGCGTTTTGGATGGATGGCAGTGTTGTCGACTAGTGTTCGGCCGTGAACCAAAAAGTAAGTTGCGCCCCCACCGCCCACATTTGGCGCTTCAGGATTTTTTATGGGTGGCCTTGGTACAACTGTGTTCCGAATTTCCGTCTACAACAGTAGACATTCGACTACATATATTCTCCCTGGCACATTCCAAAACCGTGTGTCTCTGAAACTATACTGTACTTCGCAATAGTTTGTCAACTTCAATGCAAGTCGACAGCATCGATTTTGCCCGGAAATCCTGGAAAATCACTACAGAGCCAAGCGGCGGATGGCATCGCTGGATCTATGGCATGATGCCGATATATGTTGAGTGATTTTTCTGATGGACTTTTCATTGCAAAGAATTGCGCATAGTCACGTTCAATGCTCGGTTGGTACATTCCGACACAACCTGCGTGTTTTGTAGGATCATTCAATGAAGAGAAATCGATTCATTATATTTTCGTTCAAGGTATTGAAAATCGATTGCCCTCTCTCTCACGTGACTCGTGGGTGAATCTTGCTCTCGCCAACTTTGACATGATGGTGGGTCAGCTCCATGTACAGAACATATCCGTCGACATACCTCATCAGGGGAAAGGGCCAGAAATATACCGAACAGCTGATGCGTTCTGTTGATGGGCTCGTCTCCCCTGGCCAGCGTCTCCATGGTGACGAGCCCTATGCCGGGTACCTTTGATAGTAGTGTAGATCCGCGCCAAGCATCGCATCCGCACGGCAATAAGTAGTCAATGAAATGCAAAGCGCAACAATGACATCTTACAACACCGCATGATAATCGTCTACGTGTAGAAGCATTCAGCGACAGAAGGGTTGCCAAGCAGGCACCGTGGAGTGAGCATGGACGCCTTTCTTCGTGGCTTGAGACTGAGTGATGATCATGCTCAGTGCGACCTTTGTTACCGAACTAAAGGAGACATACGCACAGTGCACATGAATCAACCAAATGAGCTTGGCTACAACGCATACTCTTTTTCCCGCATAAAGTTGCCGTCTTGACTCGAGGTCATTGATTGATTGACGATGACCGTTAAGTGTTGTTTGAAATATCGTGACCAAGCGAGTGGCACAGAAAAACTGAGATAGGAGTGCGATGATCTACATACATGACGCCATCACCTCGGTCGTTATGCCGGTGATCGGGCCAGCAATGAATTCCGCGAGCTGGTTGTCAGAAGTCGTGCTCCTCCTCGGGTGGAACGGGGTTCGTATTGCCTGTACCATCGGCAGGAACCACAAAGAAAGCCAAGATCGGTGTATATATGAGCTGACGGTGAAGGAGGCAGTCCTTTCCACGAGTAGGTGGAGCTGGAGCACCAGGAGACGGCCCGGTGCATTTTGTGTGATACACTGCTGTGCAGACTGCACGTAGTCTACAATGTTTACGTCCGGTAATAAAAATCTTATCTACGTTGTTGTGTAGTTGCGGTTTTTACAGTAGTAATTGCATCTATTCTCGGCAAGCCTTCACTTTCTTCACCTACAGATATTCGCGCGTTTTAACCACATATTACGCGGTGCCACGTCTTTCCACTCTCACCCGCGCACGGGAACAACAACTCTCATCAGCTGTACAACGTCTTCACCATCTTCAGTTTGATCCCCCTTTTCACCGTCGTCGACTACTCTCGCTTGCTTGCGGTTCGGGCCCCTACGCCCACTGGGGGCGCGAGGACCATCAGGTAGTCTAGTTCATCGTGATTGAAGCAATTTCGTGTGCCGGGAGCACCTGCTGCGTGCTCGAGTTTCGTGCTGGGTAAGTGCAATCACCACATGGACTGTATCCATAGTCTAGTCCATGTACTTCCACGATTTGGTCTTTTTTCGTGCTTCGGCATTTCTTTTTCTCGCGGCAGTGAGTAATTTCTCGCGCTTCCTTCTCAGGGCCACGCAGGAGGCTCGTCGGCACATTATCGCTCATCATGCGGAACTCGGCAGGTCTCCGTGGGGCGTGTGGTTGACGGTCAAAGTCGCAAAAACTGGCTCTGTTCCCCGGGGACGCGTTCCGCGCAGACAAAGCCTGGCGAACCAATTCTTCTTCTGCAACCCATCAAATACGACCGGGAGGAAATGGCCCGCACGCACTACTTTTCGACCAGGTTTCTCGCTGCCAACGACCACTGCTACTACTACTGTAGCTGGAGAAACCTGATCATATGTGCCCCCACGGGAATCCCTACTCAATTGTCTTCTTCAAGTCTGGCGCCATCACCTCGGTGGGTGGTGTTTCTGGCTGAAAATCAGTTGTCCGATTTGCAGCCCTACGTATGTATCTAGCGAGCGAAAGTATATTTCTCGAGAAAATTGCCTCCTGTCTGATGTTCAACTCCATCGCTCATCATTCGCTGATATCACTGTCGGCGTAATTCGTGCTATCGCACGCTTTGTCCAAGAGAACCTGCCTATCTTTGCTCTTCTACACTTCGCAGCGGGCCCAGGGAAACGCCGCTCGCTGCTGTAGACAAGTCTGGGTGCGTGCACCCACAGTGTTTGTGGTGTTGTTTCGATACATACAGATGGCGCCCGCACTTAAGAACCTCCAGTTTCGGCCGAGGCTGGGGTTCTTATGTTGCCGACCATCCTCTTGTGGGCTACAAATCGCCACAATATGGGTTTTAGTGTAGGGGTTCTTAACTGGGCTCACACATGGTGCTCAAGTTCTTAGCTTGTGATTTTTTCGAGTCTCAAGTTCTTAACTGCCAAGTTCTCAAGTACGGGCGCTGTATGTATGTCAAGTTTTGTTGTCATGGATTGGAATCTGCCACACATCAAAAACCATGTGTTGAAGTTGATTTTGTCCTCTGGCAAGTTGTTGTCCGCTCGAGCTGGCTCCGAATGTACGACACGAGCCGACATACGAGCATTAGACTATATATGCCCATCCAAAATGTCACACAGCCTATTCGGGCAATGCGCATGTTGTCTTGCCTAGCCTGCGGGAGGCTTGACACCCACGTCCCGAAGGGAGACCTTGTACATTACCTACGGAAATTCATCAATCATCAAGTTGTGTACTTCAAATTTCGACAAAAAACACTCCGCGGCGCTGAAGCAACATCTTGCCAAATAGAGTTGCAAGAACGCATCACCAGGTGGTCAATAGTCACGAGTACGTCGATTTCTTGCGACGAACGTGGTGCACTATTGTTTCCTGTTGCAACAAACATCAAACCCACGGCAACGAGCGGTGGGTTCGGGCCGTAGTCGTATCACGCAGGACAACTCTTCGCGTCGATTGTGCTATGAAAAGGACGAACCCCTCAAGCCGAAGTCGGGGGGACCACATGCTCGCTTGAATATATGTTTGTTGGTCTTTTTGAAGTATTTCTTAGGCTGGCCGACGCTCGTTCACCATGCCCAAGGTAGCCAACGGGACTTGTATGTGTATTGGCATTCTCCGTGCGCTAGGTTGTACGAGATACGCATGAGCTCGATGGCCGGTGCGGCACACATTGCTAGATACCATTATAGTAGCGGCAATATCGATGATTGTACAGACAGAAGAAATTTATCTATTGGATGCGACAACAAAGCGGGCATGATCGCTGAGACCCGCCCTTGCCAAATATATAGACTATATCGCTAGAACCCTCACCTCTCTGGGCATGGTGTTAGCCTGTTTCGGAAAAAAAAGGCGGTGAAGGAGGCCTGATATGGAGGCTGTTGTATGTGTCCTTTTTGGGGCGTCAACGCATCTATCTCCGAAAATTTGATGCGTTTGAATATTTCTTAGTATGACCCCAAGAGTCAAGGGTCTGTGCGAAAAAAAAGTCCGGGCACGCACATAGGCCCTGCCCCCCCTTCCCCCCCCCCGGAGAAAATCGACGAATTACCGCGAATCGTCGAAAAGTTACCATAAGGTTTCGATGGATTGCCAACATGCCTCGCTGTCGCTCCTCCTGCCGCAACTGCTCGTCAGAAGCCGGCCCACGCTCAGCCATGCTATAGGAACACACGTACGGTAGCGCCCCGTTCCTACAAAAGTGCAGTACATTCGGCCAAAGCTCGAAATGAGCGAAGCAGCTCAGCTAACCATCCAACACAACCACCTGCCTTGCAAACTTGCCTTTGCCACTTCTAGCACTGCACAACAGGGAACATTGTCTCGCAAATCTACTCGTAGCTATTGTCTTTTAGGGTTACGTTTGACTTGATTCACAAAATTGGGCGTCCTGCAGCAGCGGAGGTGGCGGTGCTGCTGTAGCTCGTAGACTTTGTAGTCTACCACAGAGGCTACACTGCTGTCACCGCTCTATCACAGAGAGAGGTTGGTCTACACTGCTGTGAGATCGGTAGGCCCGAGCGAGCTTTGGAAAGAGAAGTATAGATAGATGTTCTTATCAACTGACTCCCTGGTCAGGCTTTGATGGGTGCTAGATGAGAGTGAGCACAAGGGGCGAAGGCGCGCTTGTGTCTCAGCTCAACAACAACAACAAAAAACAAGCAGCAAACACGGCGGGTTCCGAGGGTCTCCGGGGTATGGGCCCGAGTACCGGAATTTCGGGGTTCGGAACAAAAAAACAACTACAGTCTCGCCTGCGAAATTATCTCCGCTACAACTCTGTGCTCACGTTCTCTGCAAAGTGCCATCTCTTCTTTCTGTGTTATGTCCACGGAAGGCTAGTTGCCGCAGTCGCACCAATGGTAAACTGTGTCTGACTACGTTGTAACAGTTTTCTTCGACACGACCCCTCGATTAGGCAAGTAGCCGATGTTCCAAAAAGAAAGAAAAGCTTCACTTCGCTGCCATTTTTTGCAAGGGTGTGTTTGGTAAGGTACATACCGAGGCGTACCAGCGGTATTATACCTCCGGTATACCGGATCGAGATGTTCGGTACGTTCGGAATGGACTTTAATACCTTACCGAAGTGTTCGGTACGTTCATATACCTTACCGAAAATACCGGTACGTTCCGTATGGACTTGAATACCTTACCGAATTGTTACAAATACCGNTTCGGTACGATGTAAATACCTTACCGAAAATACCGGTACCGAGCGTACCGTATCGGGTCAATCGGGAAGATAGGCATGACATTCACCCGATACCGCCATACACACGCACAGCANTATGCGATCTTGTGCTTAATATGTTCTAGCACTTGTAGTCCTTGATGAGTTGCATGATGGTGGCGAATCGCTGCTTCGGGAAATGTTTTNGATGTAAATACCTTACCGAAAATACCGGTACCGTACCAAACACGCCCTTGATTTTTTTTGTGATCCCTCAATTCCCAATCCATATCAAAGAATATCGACCTCCACATGAGTGAATCCATCCTGTGAGCAATATACGCGTTCAAAAACATTCAACCATGCCATGCGATCTTGTGCTTATTATCTTCTAGCACTTGTAGTCCTTGATGAGTTGCATGATGGTGGCGAATCGCTGCTTCGGGAGATGTTTCGTCGCGATGTCCGCCAACATCGTGGCACTAGGTTGGCGGTGAAGAGTGATCCGGTGCCCCTTCGTGAATTACCTGAGGAAGAAGAATCGGAGCGCGTGAGCTTGGTACTCGAGCTGAACATCGCGTTGCTGGCCACAGTCAATGCTCCGGTGCTGTCGCTGTTGATGGGTACCGATCGAAAGGTCTCGAATCCGATTTCCGTCATGAAGTTGGAGATGTAGACTGCCTCGCGAGCACTGAAGCTCAGCGCTTGAAGTTCGGCCTCCACGGTGTTCTGTGCTGCGAGAGTCTGTGCCTTGGCTCCGTAGCTGATCAGTCCCCCTCCTAGGAAGAACAGGTATCCGGTGGTAGACCTGCCGTTGTCCGGGTTGGCTCCAAATGACGAGCCAGTGAAGCACGAGCGTCTGAACTGCCACTTCTTGCAAACGATCGGCAGGTCCGGCGTTCCGCGTAGGTACCGTAGTAGGTGCTTGGCC